TTACTAGAAGCGTCTCTTTTTTGTTCTGTGCCTTTTGTGGAATGTATTGTAGGTACTGACATATTTTGTTCTTGGGCAGAAAAAACTGTCTTGTTTCTGGAATTCAGATTTGTAGATCAAAAATGCATTTATTTGGCTTTTTGATGGGCAGTATTTTTTTTTTTCACCAGAGTTTACTGTCTGGAAACACGAGAGGAACGACAGGAACGTTTAGGTTTTATTGACAAACAGCTGGAGCTCCTTACTCAGGACTACAAGCGGAAAATAAAACAGATCACAGAAGAAGTGGAGAGGCAGGTAAGGAGGAGTGGGTGCAGAAAAACAGGTTGTCTGAAACAGCTGTCAGCACGGTGGGAGAAATGCAAAGTGCTGACAAAGGTTTAAAGCACTAGAAGTGTGGGAGTTACAGATGGGAAGAGAAGAAACGCTTTCAAGAGAAGTTTGGTCGTTGCTTTTTTTGGTCTCCTTGAGGTAATAACATGAAAAGTAGAATGCTTGGGGGAAGCTTTCAGAGAGACTCACATAAGATGCTTTAAATAAACAATGGACTTAGATTAATGTTTGAATTATTATTGCGGCTATGTCTCAGTCTTAAATGCTTGCTAAAATACTAAAATGTTTCAGATAAGTTTCCATATTATTTTAATCTAGAATAATGTCAGTCATCTTACTATTAATAATAACATGCCATTTTTACTATTATGAATATACAGAAAAGGCCTATTCATTTTTCTCAAGTCTTATATTGCCTCAGTCTTTTCCTGTCTGTGCTTACTAAGAAATGCACGACTTCAGGGGTGGTTTCCCATCTCTCCTGAGGACAGAATATATAGACACTCTGTCCTGTGCTGTTTCTCCAGGTGTCAAACGCGATGGCAGAAGAAATCAGACGGCTTTCGGTGTTGGTAGATGAATACCAAGCAGACTTCCATCCCTCACAAGTAGTTCTTAAAGTTTACAAGAGCGTAAGTGGTGTTTGCTTCTTACAGGTTGCTTAAGCAATTTAAAGAGGCCTTCTTTTGCTCTGAGTCAGTAATTGTGCCAGCTCTTCGAGATGCTTAACGTTCTTCCAACTAGGATATGAGCTAAGCTTTTTGTCTTGTGAAAAATAATATCAGTGATGAATTGGTACACATATGATACAGAACTTTTCCTAGACTACAGAGTACATCTGAGGTTTTTTGTTTTGCACTTTCCTTCACTGAAAAATGGAGAAAAAAATGAAAGTAATATCAGAACAGTGGGCAGACAGCATGTGTGCTCCTGTCCTAGGAGGGTTTTTTTAAGTTTAAACTGTAGCACCTGTAGCCTGCATCTTACCTACATCTGTTGTAAGGTTAATAACCCTACCTTTGTTTGTCAGGAGCTGCATAAACACATTGAGGAAGGCCTGGGCCGTAACATGTCAGATCGTTGCTCCAATGCCATCACAGCTTCCCTGCAGACGATGCAGCAAGAAATGATCGGTCAGTTCACCAGGCAATGCTCTCCTTCCACTTTCATTGAATTGTAATGCAAAATAACTGGGTAGATGTTCTGGGTTTCTCTTTAATCTGATGGCTGGTGTGCAGCTGGCATCATCTTAGTTTCCATCTTGATTAATAAAGCTGTTGTGTAGAGGACTAATTGCTCCTGCTTTTTGCACGCTGTGTGTGAACTTGTGCAGTGATTGCCTAATGAATATGTACAGTCAGCTTCATGACAGAACAAATCTGTGACTTTGGAAACTTGAGAGATTCTCAGAGCAAGATCCTTGTGAAATGTGAATGATTGTAACTTAGGTACCTGTTTAAATGTAAGCTTTGAAAGGAGTGCGGTGCCTAAATGCTTTTAGAACTGGCCTTCAGATTCTGTTTCCCAAGCTATTGCTAAACTTTAAACTTCACCAGCTGCCTGTAAAGGTTTAGGAGTGTCCATGAAAAGATTTCCTTCTGAGTTGATCTGAAGAACTAAGGATGAAATAGTAATTCATGATGTATTTCTTATTTTAAACATGCTTGGCTTTAGGAAATTTCAGGTAGTAGGAAAAATAACTGGAGGATGGACCAACCCATAAACTCCCTGATTACAGAATACAAGTCCAGTCAATTACTGTAAATTCAGTCGCTATTTTTTGGATGTTTTTATTTTCTGTGTGCAGATGGTTTAAAACCCCTCCTCCCAGTCTCTTTGCGGGGCCAGATCGACATGTTAATTCCCCGGCAGTGCTTCATGCTCAGCTATGATCTGAACTGTGACAAGCTTTGTGCCGACTTCCAAGAGGACATAGAGTTCCATTTCTCTCTTGGATGGACGATGCTGGTGAACAGGTTTTTGGGACCAAAGAATGGTCGTCGGGCCTTGATGGGCTATAACGACCAGGTAAGAGATCTCATTGAGTGGTGGGGGTAGATGTGATATTCATCATTTCAGGGAAGGACAGTGGCTTGCCTTCTCTTACTCTGTACTTTGTTTTTGTATTGTCACTACTGTTCTAATTAGGTTCAACGCCCTTTAACTCCAGCGAATCCCAGTCTGCCTCCTCTGCCTCAGGGCTCTATGACCCAGGAGGAGCTCATGGTGTCGATGGTGACTGGCCTGGCCTCCTTAACTTCCCGAACTTCCATGGGGATCATCGTGGTTGGCGGTGTGGTGCGTTGGCAATCCGAGCAGCATTTATATAAATACAGTTGGAGCACTGACTTGAAAAGCACTTGCACTGCTGAGTCCCACAGATATTTGCTATTTACAGATAGTGAAATACTTTCTTCTTTGACCTTCCCTTTGAGTATAAATATTGAGCTTATTTTGCATAATAGTTAGGCTTGGAGCCAGGGTTGTTGTGAAGAGAACCCTTCGAAGTATGTTACAAAAGTATTAAAGAGTCTCTGATTCTTTTGTGAGAATAAATGAAAATTTGGTATTTTTTTCTTTTCCCATTTATAGAGGAATCAAGATAGAAATATCCACCAAGAGCCTTTGATAGTGTGCATTTCCTTTCCTGGGAGGGGAGGAGAGCACTTAATTTTAGATGCTATGCCTAATTTGTTTCAGAGAAAATTTGCACTTCCTGATTTTCTGTCTTTTGAAAAAAATGAATGTTTTGAATCTCAAATCTCCCCAAATTATGGAGGTATAAGAGAGAGAACTCAGTTACACGGTAACTCTAGTTCCTCTTGCAGGAAGAATCTAAATTCATGTAGTTCCATACCTACGTGCTGTTCTGGTGTCGCAGTGTCCAGGGGTACTCAATTTCTGAAAAGGGAGATAGTTGCTTAAACTGTCTTTACTTTGGAAACAGGGATTCTGTGAACTGGACAGATGTAATTGAAATGTGCTAGAGAGGTTAACCCATACAGAGCCCCAGGAGTTTAGGTATTTTTATTTTGTAGACTGGACATTGGTAGCAAGCTCTCTGACCAGTGAAACCACTTGCAAGTCGGGGTTATCTATCTGGCTGGTTTTCATGTGCCTAGAATATAAGTGCACTGCTCTGTGCCATGCACTAGAATATAAGTGCACTGCTCTGTGCCATGGTTGTTAGGAGTTTGCAGCATTCCTAGATGACAATTGTGTCATTTGTTTTTCCTTGTGCTTTTTTTAGGTCTGGAAGGCTGTGGGTTGGAGGCTGATTGCTCTCTCTTTTGGCCTCTATGGGCTCCTCTACGTATACGAGCGCCTCACCTGGACCACGAAAGCGAAAGAGAGAGCTTTCAAGCGGCAGTTTGTGGAGTACGCTGGAGAGAAACTGCAGCTCATCGTCAGCTACACGGGTTCCAACTGCAGCCACCAAGTCCAACAGTGAGTTGCCTATATTCAGCTGAAATCTAATCTAAATTCTATTGTTTGGAGTTTTATTTAGATTAGATTCCTTGTTCAAACAAGATAAGTTTGCATGTTGAATTCCAGGTTAAAAAAATGTGTAATCATGTATTTGTTTTAAAATAATATTACTGTTTTTTGAATCACTGATACAGTATTTGGGTTCTGTTAATGATTAGTCTTTATGTACTTCTGCCTCTTAAATCAAGTTGCTCTGGTGCTTTAACATACTGTTGTGCAGAACCGAAAAGATGAATATCTGAGTCAGTATCATTATCACTATACCTCAAAGGGCTATATTCTTTGAATTTGCTGCTTGAGCTTACTTTTCATCATATCCAACTCGTCTCCTTGTTTATAGAGAGCTTGCTGGAACGTTTGCTCATTTGTGTCAGCAAGTGGATGTCACGCGGGAGAATCTGGAGCAGGAAATTTCTGCCATGAATAAAAAAATCGAAGTTCTGGATTCACTGCAGAGCAAAGCAAAACTGCTCAGGTGAGATTTTATCTGATACACACAGACATTTGCATACAATTGTTTTTCATGTGATTGCCCCAAGACATTCAGATTAGGGTGTACCTTTGAGTGCAGTCCTTCTGTCATAGCATTTGATGTGCAGTCACCAGCATCTTGCCCTACCAAGTTGTGTTTCCTTTCACTGTGTCCTTTCCCACGTACTGTTGCCAGACATTTAAATCTTCTGCCTCACAAAACACTTTTTCTTTCCTGGTTTTGGTTTGTTTGGAATTACAATTCCTTTCCATTTATCAAAACATACAGTCCTCTACTCTACAAACTCCTTCAGGCTGTTATAAAATTATGCCAAAAGCCTCACTTTTGCACTTGTACATAGCTGTCTGATGTTTTTCTTCACCCTTCAAAGGCTGCTGGGAAGAATTTTTCAAACATTCCCTGTTTACACAATAAGGTCATTGTGAAGTTGAGACTGAGATGTGGGTTTGAATCTCCAAGCCTAGGGAGTGTTAGCAGGCAAGGGTTCCTGACCTGAGGAAGGGTGGGGAACAGCGGCAGCAGTTTGGCATGAACCTCTGTCACTCCTCTCTGTGCCTTGCTGTGTACTCGTTTCAGTCACACTTCTTTCAGATTGGCTTCAGAGGAACTATTTTACTTGCCTAATGGAGACTTTCTGTCCTTGCAGGAATAAAGCGGGTTGGCTCGACAGTGAACTCAACATGTTCACACATCAGTACCTGCAGCAAAGCAGATAGTGTGGGAAGAAGAGAAAACCAACACTGTTCCCCTTCAGTGCTCTCTTAATTACTGCAGAGAACATGGTGGGTGATGGAATTCCCTAAAGGGAATGAGCAAAAGCCTATTGCTGCGTTTCCAGTTGCTGTGTGAACAATAGGATTCTGCTTCCCAGTTGTGTGTCCCACCTCTAAACACTAGCTGTTTATTACTCTTCCTTTTCCTTCTTGTGAGACCAGGCTACTTCAGGAGGAATGTGTGCTTCATACATTTACAGGGGGCTTTTTAAACCAAAATCAAGTTCAATGACAAATTTAAAACGAACAAATGTTTATTAGGTTAAAAGGTATTCTGACACATCTTTGTGGAGTTACTCCTTTTCCTACGTGAAGATAGAGCTTTTGACTTCAAGCCCCAGGTTTATGTATGTGTGAGAAGCTGTTTGTCTAACACAGATCCCAAGCACACTGACCCAGCGATGGTTTCACAAGGCCTTTATGGCCCACGCAGGTTATCTCCTAGGTTAATATTCCAATATTCCGTTATCATAGAACACGACAGAGAAGCACTATGTCCCTTCATAGAAAGGTTGTTAGTATAGAACATGACAGAGAAGCACTATGTCCCTTCATAGAAAGGTTTATTACTGTCAGTATGTTTAAACCTACGAACAAAACCCAGTTCTCTTCCAGATAAAGAGGGACTAAGGTTTTGCTTTGGTAACCATATTGTCTTCGGAGTTAGTTTCTTCCTCTTAAGAGCTCTTCAATAATGCAGTCTGGGTCTGGCCCATTTCACGCCATAGACAAAGAGTTTGCAAAGACATAACTAGCTCCTGTGAAGGAGGTAGTGCTGATAATTTAGCAGCTTGTTGAGGAAGAAAAGTAGGAAAGAAAAGCCAGTTTGACAGAATGTAATGAACTGCCTTTTGAGATAAGTTGATGAATACTGGGGGTTTTCTTGGAAGTGCACAGCTGTGTTTCTGGAAGCAGGCCTTCGGAATTCCATTACCACTATTTGGCCACAAGAACAGCATGTGGATTACAAGCTGTAAGAGATTTTGCTTCATGTAGAGTTCCCATAGGATGTTACAGTCCATGCAGTAATATGATTTAATGTTGTTTCTCTTCTGTTAAAAGTAGGAGAATGAGCTGGCAAGTGCAACTCTTCTGGGGCGGAGGGGAGATCTGCCCCTTGTATTTCATGGCAGGGCAAGAATGGGTTAAGGTGACTTATTTCTTTAAGGATATTCTGTATTTGCAAATAGATGAAATTAATCGTTGAGTTTTGCCCTGAAACAATTTTGAATTTGGAGTATAAGATTTGGGAATTGTAAGGACTTGGAGTCTTTTCCTGTTGGAGTTGATAGAGGAGAAGTTCCCCCTGGTTTCAGTAGTACTAAGATTAGGTTCCCTTGTTGCAAAGTCTCTTTCCCACTTGGTGGGTCAGTATCTTGCCACGCACTGGGTGTAACCTTTCTATTCCCCACAAAATGTCTGAGGAATCCAGAATGAGATCCTGTAGTTCTGCAGTCAGTGACAACCCAAATCTGTTCAGCATCTAACTTTAGAGAACTATGGGCTATCTTTGAGCAAGTCTCAGCTGAATTCAGAACTACTAAGAGTGTTTATTTTTTCCTTACTGACAATGAGACTTTTCACTTGAGAATGGTATCAGCTGGACTTAGAATTTCTCATTCATGCTCAGGTGTGAATATATGTGCCTGTGACAAGTCCCCTGTTCCGTGTGTCACAACAGTTCCAGAAAGAAGAAGCTGCCTGATACTTGAGGGAGTAAAAACAGTGAAGTGTCAGTAAGTACTTTAGGCTGTTCTAAGATTTTGAGTAAGATTTGAAGTATCTTGATCATGTAGGAGCTGGCAGTGAGACTGTTATGTCCCTGGAATGCAGGAGGCAAACAAACCTTTCACCTTCAGTAGGCGGCTTTGAATCCAGCCCAAGCTGGAAAGCTGTTGCCATCAGAAGGCTTCACTGGCCTTGGTCAGTTTCCTCAGGCTCCACCAGGACATAAATAGGGCTTGGATCAGATCTGAGAATGAGTAAGAAAGAAATTTGAGTCCTCACCTCTGGAAATGTGTTCTCTGGGCTGGTGGTGAAGTGTCCCGGAGTAAGTGGGGTTACCCACTGTTACTCTGGGGCAGGTATTATGTGAATACATTTAGCTCTCTAGTCTCAAGCTATCACATACACACTTAGAAAAGGCTGTGTACTGTGTTGCTGAGTTAGAACATTAAGCACATCCCTGATATACCAGGAAATTGTCAGTTCCAGGTAGAGGGAGGTAATGATGTGCTGCTGCTCAGCAGCTCTGGGCTACCTGAAACGCTGACCTTGCTTTTGAAGACGTGTGCTGTGAGCATATCTGCAGCAGGCCTTTAGGGGAAATCTGATCTGAATGGTGATCTGATCTTTAAGCCAGTGTCTGATCTGTAAAGGGAAAAGAGATTGATGGGTTCTCAGAATCTGGTGTCTTACCAATGTGTGTGGTTCTGCCACTGGTCAGATTTTGGTGATGTACGCATTCTCACTGTCATGTTGAAACCTAACCTATAGAATGGGGAAAAGAACCACTTAATTTTTTTAAGAAGCAAAACTGCTAACATGGGAGAGAAGAATTTGTAGGGGTGTGCGTAACCCTTGTCCCTAGAAGCCCGAGAGATGAAGAACTAAACTTTTAACAGAAGGGCCTATGAGCTGGATTCCTCGTAAACAAAAGGCAGCTGTACTTCTTTAATTCAGAGTGGTGGAGGATGAACGCTACCAGCAGGGAGCTGTTCCCTTCTGCTTTCCATAAACTATGATAAGCTAATCCTTAGAACAGGTAATTCCAAAAACACTCTTCCCCAAACTCTTATTAAAGAAGATCAGCTAAATGCACTTTATCTTATTGCTGCTATTTATTTTCTTCATTGTGTTATGTTGATGGAGCTCTTCAAAATCCTCTTACCAGTGAGTTTTCTCTCTGCTGTATTTAAGGTGGTAAATTTGCATGAATTATCCCTATATCAATGCTGTAAACAATGGAAACCAAAATAAAAATGAATTGGAAAAATACTTCTCCTGCTGTGTTCTGCGTATCGGGACACAAAGCCTTCAAGAGTAAGTATAACATATTCAGATGATGATATGCTCCTGTGTTGCAGTAAATTGTGTGTTTGACAATAGTGACTTTTTATCTGCCTTCTTACTGTGAAAATTAACAAGGCAGCTAATGATAGTGATTTATCTGATGGAAAGTTTGAGAGGTTCCTCCTTAAGTCACACTCGAGATGTTGGTATTGAAGCTTTCTTGAGAAGGCAGTGGGAAGTGATGGTCAGCAAATAGCGCGTTACAGACCGCGGCGGTGAGGGGCTGTTCCGGGGGGATGGATCACCCTCTGCGTAACGGAAAGGCCAGATGCCGGCGATAACTGCTCGAAACGGCCCCCGTTTACCTTCCGGGGGAGTCAGGCCGAGCTGTGGCGATGCCGCCGACCCCGCCGGAGGGCGGAGGTTCGGGGCCGGGTGCCGCCCTCGCCCGGCCGCCCCCGCCTCCCGGCCCCGCGCATGCCGGGAGCCGCGGGGC